TTAAATTTCATTTATCACAATCTTATGTTAGCTCAAATTGTCATCCAGAATCTAAAACAAGAAATGAGTGGTTATATGAAATGAAGATTCAATCTTATCGTTTAGCTTTAGAACTTTTTATTCATATCCATTTACCATCATTTAATGAAATTCATTATACAGGTGCAATCCGTGAAAAACATTGTTCATCATTTGGTTCTTATCTTGTAAAAGGATTACAAAACATTAGACGACATGCATATACCTGTACTTTTAAAAATCCAAGTTATAAAGATGTATTAATTCAATGGATTGATGAATTTCTTAAAACACCTGACGCTATTCAACAATGCAATGAATGGTATAAATCTATAGGAGCATGTGATGAAGTTCTTTTCCAATGTATCCCATTCATTTTATTACAAGCACGACTTTCTCAAGTTCTTGAAGGGTTTGTATGGGTTGATAGAGTCTTATTTATGAAAGAATTTTGTTCTTCTGTAAGTTGTAGAAGATTATTTCATCCATTTATTTCACCACGGGGTATTTGTATAGTGGCACATAAATAATGATTTAATTGATTATTATTTTTATATTTACAAAAAAAATTAAGGGGGTTTGAAATTGTTAAACAAATAAAACAAAAAAATAAATAAATTTAAACAAATTAATTATGTAATGAACAAGTGGTGTTGAAAAGGGGGTGTAAAGATAATAACGTTGTATTATTTTGGTCTATATAAATACTTCTTTCTTCATTAAATGAGTTAGCAAAAAAGGACATAGCATTTTTACCAAGAATAACCATTTCTTCAAAATTGAGGATTGGCTTTTGTTCGAAGAATATTGTTTCTATTCTTTCAAATCTAAAAGTTTTCATTGTTTTTCTTGAGAGTTTAGAATTAAAAAAGTATGACTTTTCTAAGAGAATATCAAACAAGAAGTTATGGATAAAGGTTCTTCTATTCTTTTCATATCTTCTAATAGCACTATCTCGTTTCATTCCTTTCTTTAAATTCAATTCGAAGGCTGGACGACATACATTTTCTGCTAATTCTCCTAAATTGATTGTTTCATTTGGAAAAACAAGTGATTGAACTAATGGTAAAGTTGCAGTGACAGTTGTTTGTTTTCTTGGATATTCAAGAACAAATCCACAATATGGGGATAATAATGTTAGAAGGGCAGTAACTTGGAAAGTTTCAATATCTTTCATTTGTCTTTTATTTTGCATATATTTAAGTTGAGCTTCTCTCGGAATAGGTATTTGAATTCGTTTTCTTTGTTGCATTCAATAGTAATTTGATGAATAATAAAATCAAGATGAATTGTTTAAATAATTAAATGAACGTTCAATAAAAAAATCTTAAATTAGAATATCGTTAATTCTTTAAAGAAATTTAATTGTATAGATTCTGAAATTCATATCCGTCTTTATAAATCTCGTCAGTTTTTCAATACATTTGAAACTATATTTAGTACTTATTTTTCGATGATAATCGTATTAATGTCATTTGCCGTATTTCTTGGTGCATTAATAGATTTCTTGTATTTGAATAGTTCTTTTCATTTTTTTTTCTTTTGTGCAGAAATTCTACTGGAATTTTTTTAATACAACCCCAAGCTTCTTTTTACCTTTTTTAGTCTTTTTTTTGAAACGAGGCAAGTTACTATTTTGAGCTTAATCTGACTTGATTTGTTGGCAACTTGGAGTTAATTTAGTAATCTGTATTAATCTTGAATATCCATTTTAAGCACCTTTTATCTTCAATAACCACTATTATTAGTCAAAAAAGATAAATAAATCTTCTTTGCAACCAAATTGTTTTACAAAACCTCTTAAAATTTTTTTGCGGTTGATGGAATTGTCGTGAAATTATTCCATTTTTGTGTAACACACAAAATAACAGAACTAAAATACCCTTTTATTATTTTCTCTTAATATGTTATTTATAACGAAAAATTACTAATGAAAAAATACCAACTAAAATTTAGGAGGTTTAATAAAAATTAAACTGGTTTTAGGTTATCCTCAAATAAACCAAAAGAAATGAAAATATTTGCAAATTTAAAAAAATATGCATGAGATAATAATTAAAATGTACGAAAATTATTAATTTTTACAACGAATTTTTTGTTTTATTTTCATTTAAATTTCGACATTTTATTTAGAATAACATGTTCAATACCCTTCTCTGTATTAAGAAAACAATCTTATTGGCACTTTCAAATGAAACAAAAATGAGAAAAAAAAAGAAGACAAGAAAATAAAAATAAAAAGAACAAAGAAAATAAAATAAAAAG